CAGGCAGAAAATAGGATTCTGACTAGTACTGCAGTTCCTCTAGCTTCATCTGGGAGTTGAAATTGAAAGTAATAATGAACTGTAATGTTAATCACTCCTTTATTAGAGCAGGAACTGAGGATCGAGGGACCTAAGTTCTTTCTTTGACTCCTTCATGTAATCCTTAGCTGATCTGTAAAATATTAACTGAAATATCACTTTCATGGTTCAATCACAAAATGATACCACTTGGTCTTGACCCACAGTCTCAGGGCCAGGCTAGCAGCCAGGCATAGCCAACCAAACAGACATGTAAACCCATACACAAACAGGGCACCTCTTCACATTATTTCTCACACAGACACAGTACCAAGACATTAAGGCTACTTATTGAAAGTGCAAAGCACCATTTCAAAGCACCTCCTGGTGCCTAAGAAAAATGTTCAACAGTCTCTGCCAGTCCCAATGTTTTTTCCTACGGCAGCATCTCTGTTTCCTCAATAAGTGTTTTCCAGATCAAATGTGATAGCCAGGACAAATTGCTGTACTGTGCAGGGCACATCTCCCACATTAAAAAGGAAGTCTAACCTAGTTAAAAATGAAAGGACTTTGTTCTCTAGGGATCCTAGGGACTCTGGGTCATCCTGTATGACTGGGGACAGTGGTGAGCATCAGCAGACTGAGGGAATGTTTCTCTTTTCATCACTCCTGTTTCCTGAAACTACAGCAGCAGATGCCGCGTATTGTGACTTCTTTCAGAAGAAATCTTTCAGCCAGGCTTGACTCCTAGCATTATTCATCCCTCTCGAAACTCTTTCCTAGCACTGACAGCTAAGTTGGATATCCTGTGCCTCTAAACAAGTAGCAGTTGGTCTATCCAACATGGCTGTGTTGAGGCTTCTACAAAGCTGAGTATGTTAGTGTTACCCACTGCAAAATGTTTGCTCATGTATTTTTTCAAACTTGTGCAATGGTTAGGCTAAATCACATGATACTAAGATTTACAATTAAAGAAAAGAAAACAGAGAAACTACGTGATTCTTTGTACACTTAGCACTTACAGGCAATCCTTTTACTAATTCAGGCCTACAAACTGGATGCTAAAATGCTAAAACCGAGACTTCAGAGGATGCTCATGTTTTGATCCTGTTTCAACTCTCTTGCAATCATGTCAGCCACCTGCCTTCCTTGAGTCTCTACTAACCCAGATGGACTCTTTTTTTTTTTTGTAAAGTTGAGGATTTCAATGAAAACCAGATGTTCCATCTGATCCAAACTTCCCTAGATAAATAAACCCTCACTCTGTTCCATCCACTTAGTTATAATGCAGCAAACCAACTCTAATGGAAATGCTTTCACAGGCCATTTAGTAAAAATAAAGTCCCAGTTGTCCTAGAGAGACACTGATCCTGTGTGTTAATGTAGGAAATGGTGGCAAGAGTCACTCTGCGATGGTCAGTACCTGTTCTCTCTGTGTGCTGTGGTGAGGTCTTCTTAGAGGAGAAAAGAGCTTAGCAGAGATCATGAAAACCAGGGAAAAGCCTCAAGTGGACTCTGCAGTGTTTTTTAGTGTAAATGTGAGGAATGTGGGAGGAGACTGTGTGTGGAGGTATTTGGAAGGGAACAAGTAGCAGTGTGGATCAACCATGCAGAAAAGTGGGGCCATGGCAGCAAGCAATAACAATAGGAATATTTGGAGACAAAATGTGCTGAAGAAAAAAGCCTTTTCCTACCTCCTTGGTACCTTTCCCCACCCTCAGGCAGGGAAGCCAGATGTCCCTGAAAAACAGTTCATTAAACTGATGTAACAAAAGACAATTAATTCTCAGTGGCACCATTTGGTACTGCCGTTGGTTGTGTTCACGTCACAGACACCCTGCCCCATGGCAGCAGGGGGATTGCTGACATCTCATAAACAACCAGTCAGGTGAAGCACTTCACAAAACCGTACGCTCATATTAATCCACTCTCCTCTTTTACTCCTTCAGCTCTCATAGTCACCTCTAGCAAAAGGATGACGATGCTGCTTCTGGCTAGGAATCAGGAATCAGGAATCTAGCAAAACAGTACTGTGGTAATTGAGAGCTGTCTCTCTGGTCTTCGACTAGCAGACAATGTTTGCGATGGCTTCATCATCGCCTAACCAAAATTATTGGGATATGAATAAACAATGCTCATTATTTTAGGGCGAATGTGACGGTCCTTTGTGGGAGAAAAAAAGGAAGTATTCCAGTTTCTCTCTGATAAGGAGAGAAGTGGCTTTTATGGTTGTCCCTAACATTAATGCTCTCTAGCATGAGACAGAGCTGGCCATGGCATTTTTTTAGCAGACCTGTCAAAATATTTTTATTCCCTTAAAATTCCAACATAAACAGATTCTGCTTAACCATGTTTATAATGCTTCATACTAAGCAGAACTGAGAGTCTTGGAAGAGGACAGCAGGCACTTCCAGACATGAAATTAAAATCACTTTATATAAAAAAAATAGAGGATGTATACCTTTCACTGTATTCCAAGTGTAGATGACTATAGCCCACTTGCTCTTGCTGTCACCTTTTTATTTTCAATATTTAAAAAGGCTTATCAAGAAGTTTTGCAGAGAAATGCAGATCATCTCCAGGAGTCCCCAGAAGAGCTCCAGAGAGGATCAGGGAACTGGCTTAGCTCTGTGAGTGGTGGGCAGCAAGTGTACCTGTGAAGGCAGGGTGCTGCTGGCCCTGTGTGCCCTGTGTCTTGGTCCTGGCAAGGCAGAGGTTCCCTGGGCACAGTTTTGCTGTGCACTGTGCTCACAGGCGCTGGTGACAGAGTTACCTCTTGTGACGCTGCAGCTTTTATCCCACAGCTCTCACTGACTTATGGCAACAGAATGAGTCAGGAAGGTAAGTTGGAGGTGGAAATCCGTGAACTTGCACTCCATGGAGGCAAAATACTCCCAGTCAACTACAGTGGACAGAGGGTGGTTGAACCTAAAGACACCTGAATGACCTCTTCTACTCTTTTTAGCAACTCTTCTCATTGCTCCTTTTCCAAATTTTTGCTTCAGAATCCCACATGGACCTGAGATATACCAGAACCTGTGTGGGTCGGTATGTATTTCACCTGACAAATGAAGAGTGGGATGATGGTTACCTGGTCATACATAATTGTGAGGGGTAGTCAAGACCTAAGCTGCCTGTGATATGTCACAGGAGAATTTTACAGTAGAACATTTTGGCAAGAATAAGGGGGGAAAACAAGGAAAGAATAATCCATACTGTATGTAGGTTTCCAGGAACTAAGTTTTGGAGGCTCTTAGAAGAGTTAGTAATAGAGAAGAAAGCAGAGAACAGTTTTATATAGTTATATCCATCCTTGAAAGGAGCTCTTCCCCTCTAACCCCTAATTTCACCTTTGTCCTTTACCTCCTGTGTGACACAGTAAAGCTCAGGGAACAGCAGAGGTCTGCATACTGTGAACCCTGACAACTTGTTCTCATGGGCAGTCTGAGCATATCCATTCTCCTCCCCTGTCCTCACTTGGAACAGCTCCATTAAAACAGGCATTTGCAAAATGCTGCCTGCTGAAAGCATGTGAATTGATCTCTCTGTACGATATGCCTGAAGGCCAGTAAAAATTAGTTTTCCCTTTCTGCAAAGAAGAAAATTAAATGCAAATTGTTAAGTGACTTGCTCAAGATTGAAGAGGGAGCCCTTACTAGAGCTCGGAAAGAACAATGGAAATCATGCAGTGCATGCTCAGGATGGATCCTTTCTGAAAGACCCACACACCTCATGAGGCTCTTCTGCTCTGAGAGGTACAATCCCAGGTTTAGTCAAAGAGACTAAAATGTGTGGTGACATTTCTCTTACTACTGAGGTTCTGAAACCTTTTCAGGCTGTCTGGAAATTATCTGGACTTGACCTGAAAACAAAGGGAGTTCTACTTCTCACAGAACAAAAAAATCTAACCCCAGACACCTCCAATGAGGCCATGAACTAAATGTGCTCTTGAGGGGAAAATATGAAAGATTTTTAATTTAAGACTTTTCTTCTACCAGACCTCAAAATGCTGGTTTAGGGTTGATAAGTTGAAGATCAGAATGTATATGGAGTTCTCAACAAATCATTCAGTCATGGTGTATTGAAGGATTTTTTAAAATAAATAATTAAATGCATTTTTAGAAAATATGTAATGTCTTAGGGCAACTCTGGAGCTGGAACAAAATATGTTTTCTTTATTTAAAATGTAATTTTTATGGATGCATTAGACTTGGAGCCAGAGAAAACATTTTTAACTGCTGAGGTTTTACAGCCACTCTAGGGTTAGGAAAGAAACCTGAAAAAATATTCTGCCTGCAGATTTTTTAGTTTCTTTTAAAAGTAAAATAAAAAGATATTGTAGCTTTCCCACCTGTACCATAGTTCATCCACAGGAGACACCTTTGATTTAATTCCTCTCTGCTGCAATGAGCCCAAGTTCAAGACAACTTGTCTTGTGTGAAAAGAAGATGCCACCTCTGGGTTGACGACCACAGCAAAAGCACTGGGGCCAGTCCTTGGTCCACAACAGTGATGAGCCTCTTTGCTTAACTGTAAGCCTCAGTTTCTTGTGTGTAAAAGGCAGAGAAAATATCCTTCCTTCTATGTGATTAATTTAGGTGTGTTGGGAAGAAATTCAGGCTGTCACTGTGCCTTGTTTGTATAATGCATTTTGCAGAGAAAGCTTCAGACATACCCGCCTTTTGCCATAATTCAAGACAGTTGATGTCAGTCTGAAAACCAATTTCTGAAGGTTAAAATGTGTGAAGGCATAACAACTTGAGTTGTCAAAAAATAACCAGTTCCCCTCTCCAAGTAGTGTTACCCTCAGGAAAGGACCTAAAGAAAACAAACAGGATCTCCTAAATATCAGCATATTAGGAAAGCCCAGAGCCTGACACAGTGCTACATGCATTGCTAAGAGAGAAACACATGCCAGACTTGTGTGTAACTTGGTGTCTGGTGAGTCAGAGCTAAAAGAGGCTTTCTATGCACATTTCTAGACACACTTTTTACATGTTGAAATGGAACTGCAGATCCATTGGTGAGAGGAGACCTTACTGATGAACATACCCTATATAAAAAGCGAGAGGAACAGACATACTTTTTGTTTATATGCAGAAAGAGATTAATCTATTCAGGTGAGTAATGGTGTGCTGTTCTCCCTTGCTCATATGAGGACTGAAGCACGTTAATTTCACGCGTGGTAAATCAGAAGTTGGGCATCTGCTCCTGCACTGTGTTCAGTACAGGGTGGCTGAGGTTTGATTTCTGCATAGAGCTTTTACATACACTTCCTCTGAAATGTGCATGTTCTTTAAATGGGTGGGTTTGTCTGTAGAAGAGGGCAGAAGGCCATTCTCACACTGTGATTATGTAGCTGACAAAAGCAAAGAAAATAGGTCTGAAAAGGAGCAGAAAAGGCCATCTAATCCACTCCCTTGCTTTGTGGGAAGATCAGTGTTATCAAATTAACACCCCACCTGATTCCATTTGAAAATAAAAAAAATAAATATGTATACGGATGATAAAAATTTTTCAACTGTAGAACTGACTTCTGAGAGGTAATACAGCCCACCAGCCCTCCGGATTTGAGGTCCACAGGAAGACATCAGGTAGTCCTTTCATCTTTCCCTGTTTCTATCTTGCACTTTCTACGCTGTGGACAGTGCTGATGTCCTAGTCTTATTCTAGGTTGTATGTAGATCACTCTTAAAATCAGTAATGATTTGTTTTATCTTCAATTTTTACTTTGGAACTATGTAATGTGTGCTGAATTCATAGTACAGCCTTTTGTAAAGTACCTGGAGGTGTCTTGGCATTATGAGCAGCTGGACAATTTTGGTGTGCTTCGGTGCTTTAGGAGATGACCATAATTGTCAAACAAATGCTCATTGGGATCCCACAGACCCCACATGACTAAGGGTCCAGATAGACCACGGAAAGCAATGAAGCAGCTACACATATGGTTTGGGGGAGATGGATAATTTAAGGTAAAAGAGAGGAAGGTGACAGTGAGGAGAGGTCCAGATGGGTAACAGCCTTTAAAATCTTGGAAAAGGATGGAATACAGACAGGCAAGCCACTGGAACAGTTTATTCAGAGACTGAAGACAACCAGAGGAACCAAAGGCGTATGCTTAGGTGTATGCTTTTCTGAGCAGAATTTTCAGAGAATGGTGAGAAGAGGATGAGGGTTGTTGTGGGAGCACCATAGGAAATGGAAGACCCATAGATTTCACTTACAGTGTTACTGCTGCCCTGACTGAAGGCCTGCTGCAAAAGCTGAACCCAGGACTTAAAGGAAATGGCACTCTGGTTTGTGGAGATGCTGTAAGAAGTTCTTAGGAAAAAGAAAATGAACATATAGGCAATAATATGGGAGAAAAGCAGGGAGGCAGGGATGTAAAACAGCAGCAGTGAAGGGACAAAGCAGTGTACTTTTGGAGCTACATATGAATGTTGTCTCCTTTGCAGCAAGTGCCAGAACTGCTCAGCTTTGCTTCACAGTTCTCACACCTATTCTGCTCATGAGACAACACTTTAATATCACCAGATGTAACCCAGATGGTACATATTAATTTATATATGGATGCTGGAAAATACATATATACTTTTCTTTTGGAGTCTTTTAAGAATGATTTTTATATTCATTTGAAAATTGTTCATTTTTATTTGAGCCATAAGGCAGCCAAAATACAGCTCCCAGGTGAATGAACCTTTATCTATTCCACCCTGAATGATTCCAGGTTTCTGTGAGACTACTTTTGAAGATGTGGACTCATTTTGTTTAAGAAATGATTCTCACTGTCTCAACAACGTGTTGCTGTCAAATGTCCATTATTAGGCTGAATGGAAATAATGGAGAGATAAATTTAGAACATCTTTCATCTCATTTTCAATATTAACAACTGTTCCATAGACTTGGCAGCAGACCCAAGTGTGTGACAAAGTAGAATGCCTTAATTTAAACATTTAATTATTTTTCTGAGTCAAACTTGATTTAATAAGTAATGATAATTGAAGTCAGACATGATCTTTAGATAATCAAGCAATCGAGCTTGCTCATCCGATAGAGCAGGAAGAAGTGGTGGTGGCATTTGTCATAATAATCTATGCAACATAAACAGCAGTGTTTCCCCAGTGTCTGGAATCACTGAGAAAAGGTGATGAGAAAAAAAGAAAATAGTCAAAAACTACAGGTAGAATATCAGAAGAGTATTAAAGAACAGATTATGTCTCTTTGTTGATAGCTCTCATTTCCTTCCATCCCTCCATTCCATTTCTTATCCCCTGCTTCTGTCCCACAGTGGACATCATTTCTGCAATTGCAGTTCCTAGGCTCAAAACCAGAATCTTAAATGCTGTGTTTCTAGCAGAGGTGGACCCTTTGCCCCGGAGAACAATAAGGAGTAAGTAAGCAGTTAAAAATATCAATAAATAAATACATTCATTTTTAAAGCAGTAACTCACAGAGTAGTCTGCTATTATTTCTGTTGTATAAAAATGATTATATAGAAATGAACATAAACCCAAAACATGAACTCTGCACCCTTAAGAACAACTGGAAAAGATATTTTCAAGCCATTCTGGTCAATCATTGCCATAATTATGCATTATGCCACTAGACTGGAGAAAGCCTTTTCCTGGAAAGACCACGTTTCCATCAACAAAGCAGACAGTGAGAGTGATGCAAGGTTGGATGGTAGTCTTCAGTGTCCATGTCTGAAGTGCTCCATGTGGAATGCTCGTCTCACCTGCTCCGAACTGCTTCTCTCATAAAGTTCCTCAAACCTCAGACCAATCCCCTTCCTTCCCATCAGACCATTCTGTGCTTACCAAAGGTGGTTGGTTGTCCTTGCATAGTTAGTAGGTGCAAATTTCCAATCTTATTTCATGCAAACCCAGACAAAATAAAAAGTATTCCAAATACAGTAAGCTGTGCAAGTGGTTAGCATGATTGCATTAGAATAAACAATGAAATGACAAATCATTCTTGCTACTGCAGGATGGAAAACGCCACTAGTTCTCCATCTTGGGCAGAAACTTATCCTATAGGTATATTGTTCTGTTGTTACCTGGTGCAAAGATATGCGCCTTGAACAATCTGCTGTTGGGTGCTGTCAGCCACTGGATTAGATGAATTGTGGGTCTGATGAGATAGGACAATGCCTTTACTCCATCCCATGAGGACCGTAAGTTATCTCCTAAATTATGTTTAGCTAATTCCTGTAAGTCACTGCTACTCCGGTTGTTATTTTGAAAGTTCTTTCCAACTCATGGCACTTGGCATTTACAGCATCCTACTGGTAATGCCAAACTCCAACAGAGTATTTTAGGTGTATTCATAAGGTACAACTGTATCTGGAGAAAGCACCAAAGGAATTCCCAGCAGTAGACAATTAATGACTATGAGAAGGACTGTAAGGTATCCTGCAGTAGCAATGGCACACATGTTCCAGCAACCACTGCCCAGTGCTTTGGAAACAATCTCTCTCCTATTATGCTGCTGCCTGTTAAATATCTTGGCATTTATCTCACAGCAGAGACCAGAGTTCTGTTCCATTGACAATGTCTCTTAATTGCCTTGTTGTTTAAATAAACAACACAAGATAATTAAGTGATAATGTCAAAGAAATAGGATGTTAGTGATAATGGGTGGTAGATCCCTCTTCCACTCTAACCTCACTGTCTAGAGCAGTCCAGACTCTGCCTGCATTGCTCACCTTTTGAGTTTTGAAGGGGGCTTTTTGAATACTTCAGTAAAAGCGAAAAAGTTTGGAGGAAGAATTCATGACTGGGAAACTGAGAGAATCAGATGATGCAAAGGTTTTGGAAAAGTAGGACATACCTGTGGGACAAAGGAAAGTGGTTCTGTGCGGAGAAAAACCTACCCGAAGGAGCTGCCTGTTTGCTGACTCAGTGGTCTGGGTGGTCCAATAGTGGCTGGCCCGAGGGGTTCTGTTTCTGTTCCTGACCAAAGCTGTTCAGCCACACAGTCTTCTTAAGGGCTGGACAGCAGGAATGCCTCCCGGCTAATGCCAGTTACCTGGGCTGCTGTGGCACACGTGCCTTCTCTGTGACTCTGCTCACACTTCACCTTCCCCCATACCGAGGGCTAATCAAAAAGGCTGCAGCCATCCTTTGAGCAACCCCTTAGACAAAGATTAACCAAAGCACGATTGTATTCATACACCTGGGCCACTAATAAAATAGATTGGTGGTCTTTTCCATTCATGACTTTGTTTCTTCAAATGGGGCTAATAGATGAAGATACAAATCCCGCAAGATTTAATATGGAGAAGTCTGGAAGTATTTTTTGTGTCTGGCAGTATTTTTTCTGACAGCCTACTAAAAAGCCATGAAGACTGAAGATTGATGGGTCTCATTGCTCGTCTGAGATTTTTGATTTATTTTGATACTTATTGGTGTATATAGTTGACAGTGACCAGTTCTGTCAACCTGGTGCCATTGTACATTTTCAAGGCACCAGAACAATCTGTTCTGGCAGAAACACATAGCTAAAAGCTATGTGTGAAGTGGGAGTGAAAAGAAAGAGAAGTTCCTTTGAACTTTGAAGTTCTTGTTCTCTCTCCTGGCTTCCAGCTTGGCTGTACATTTTGCTTCAAAGACTATAGTGGTATCATAACAGATTTGATTCCAATTGTCTCAGTTCAAACATCTTTCCTGCTGGTTATTGATATTGATCTGACAAGCTCCACCAGAGGTTTTCAGGGCACTCTAAAAGCTCTTGTGTTGATTTCAAACTGTTCAGGCCATTTGAATGTGAAAAACCACCATGTAGACTGTCAGCCTGCTTTTGTGTCTGTCCTAGAACAGACCACACTTTGCCAAGGAAGTTTTAATACTGGGAATAAAAAGTGAATTTTTGAGACAGAGGTGCAATGTTTGCTGCACAGTCATGTTTGCCTATACCATGAACCCATAGCTAAAATGGACTTGAAGGACTGGCTATGTAGTCTTGTTAGGTACTCAGGCACTGAAGATGAGAACAGAAATGTACAGCAATCTTGCTGAACACTGGTTTCTTCAGCTATTGATTATTGCTTTACAGTCAATCAAAGGAAGGGTTAGTTTTGGAAATTAGGAAAATATGAGAACGATTGCCTCACCTGTAGTGGGATATCTACCAAAACACAAACCCTCTGACAATTTAAGCCTGCTTCTGGTAAGTGACACAGGCTTGTGTCAGGCTGGCCTAGAGCAGATTGAAGAATGACTGCTGGCTTCAAAATAGTTTTAATAGGACTGAAGTACTCACATGATGCAACAGAGACATTAGGAAATTCTATAGGTATTTTGAGCTTTGACTTTGATTTTTTTGTTAGCTGTTATCTTTAAGGTTACAGACTAAATACATAGGTTGATGAAGGTTCATGAGGGCTGGGCTTGTGTTAGAGAAGTAAATTATACTGCAGCTCAGAAAAAAAATGAACTATGGAATATTTCCATATGGCAGACTAGGAAGCTGGTTTATTGGTATTGAGGAATCTGATCAAATCAGTACAACAGTTTGACAGCAGAACCAAACATGAAACCTCCACCCTTAAGATCCTAGGGATAAATGCTACTAGTATAGCATGTCTAGATTAGGATACATTTTTTGAGGCACTTTGATCAGAGAAAATGAGGATTTATGGTGCATGTATCACTGATATATATATGACACATATATGTTTGTGTTAGCTGGAAATAACAGGCAAAGGGCTTTTACAAAGCTACAATGCTGCCCACACTAGCACTGCTTTCGTGAAGAAGGCCCTGATAGAAAAATGCCTGCTTCTATGTTTTTTTTGTAATAAGAATGGTTTTTTTGTCATTTCATATTCATAGATTTGATTCTGACTTGCATTTTGAAGTTATTCACAGGCGAAGATATGGGTTCATTTTATTTATGGAAATGTGAAATTGCTATGCCCCTGTCCCCCCAAAAATCTCCTAAAATAATAGAGGCACTGAGTTTTAAAGTAACTGTTGAGCATTTGATCAGATAACTATGCCATTATTAGAAAGAAACAAAGAAAAGACAAATAAAATAGAAGCTTATTTGCATCTGATTTACATTATCCTGTGAGCATTGATTTCATTTTTATTTCATTCCTCTTAATACTATTCAGATTGCAGACTGTAGCCTTGTTGCAAATTTACAGCTGAGTTTCATTTAATCATCTCAGGTGTTACTGAAATAGGGAACACTGCTGCTGGAAAGATTTCCCCTGGGATTCATGGGAGCTGCCTGTATCCTGAAGCTGGAGGAGGGGGCCTGCAAATACGTTCTGGTAGTGCATCTCTGAATTTTGATGATCATCTGTTGATAAATTGTATGGGCCATCCTGTGTCAAGACCATCATTGCTGTCTCCTCCTTTTAGTCAGCAATTTGTCTTCAACCTTACTACTTAGGTTATGCCTTTTTCTCCTCCATCTCTAAACCCTTGCTTCACCGTAAATATTTGCAATAACTCACATTTCACTCTTCCTTGTTCCTCTTCTAGGTAGGAACAAACACAGTGTCAATACTGTGCAGATGTGTTTTAACGCAAGAGAATATTTCGGTGAGCTTGATGGTGAGTTGTAAAATCTTTGTGGTAAGCTCACAACACAGGAGGATCCTTTGATAAACATAAGTAACTGGAGTTTACCATGAGTGTATCTTTGTCAGAGAATGTTTTTCTTTCTGTTTCCTACAGCATTGCTTGCTCTAGTTCAGGAGTCAAAAAGTTAAGAGTTTTGGACAATGGGTAGTACTATCTATGATTTGAAATTCTGTTTTAACTAATGTTTTATACTGTTTGCTTAAAATTTACTGTGTCTGCAAGCAACCCCTCTTGTAAAATTATTTACCATTGAAATTCACTATTGCTGAAAGCAAACATAAAAAACATTATCAGGTTCTAAGTTAATTTGTTTAAAAATGCAAACAAATAACAATGAAAAATGTTTTGAAATCTTTGTTTAGCTGCAGTCTGCTTCTATTGATATAGACCTATGAGAATCTTGTGGCTGGGAGCTCTGATCTGATGTTGTCTTTTGAAATTTCAAATCAAGTTTTTTTCCCCATTTTTGATAGGCAAAATTGTGATGGCATCGTAATGAACAAGTGAATGAATACAGAAAAATATAAAAATTTCCCCTCAGGCAAAAAATTTGCTGATGTTAATGCTGGAAGTGAGGGTTAAGTGCTATGTGACAGAAACTGTGTTGGCTGTTGCAAAACTGTGTTGGCTGTTGCTCTTCGTTTTGATCAACAGCAAAACATTTGCCTTCGAATCTTGAAACTCCAGTCCCAGTTGGAGCAGCAACCTTTCCCCTATAATTAATTTTTGTGTGCTGTAGTCCATTAGAGAAGAGAGTGACAGCCTCTGGACACAGATTATTGTCTTACATATGGCCCAAAGGAACATTATGGTCTTAATTAAAGGTAGCTCAATATGTCAGCCATTGCAATAGTTTGAGCATTTTAAATACTGTGTCAGTATCTAACCACCTTAAATGAATTCTAGTAGCAAGAGAACTAGGTAATTTAAAGGCAGCTCATGTTCTCTGTAAGTTTTGCAGGACTGCTATTGGGAATACTTGATAATTTATGAAGGCTTACACCACCAAATTAATTACATTTTCCTGATGCCACATGTCTTTTTCATACAAGCTAGCTCTGAATTATAAGTAACAATATTGTCCTTGTTCATTCCTTCAGTACGGGAGACAGCTTACTAATAACACCAGTAGAATTCAGTTGGTGTATTTCAGAAGTGTCATTTATTAAACACCACTACAGTTAAGGTGGTATATGCTCCTCTAATATTAACACTGATTTCTGCTGTATGTATTACTACATCTCAGTTCTGAGCCTTCAGCATGGGTTTGATTTGGGAGCATTTTTTACAGTTTAGAAAAAATAAATTTTGAGGAAATGGCCAATGCAGAGACTTCCTGTGCTATGCAGGAGGTACAATGTCACACACTCCACTGTTTTCTGTGGGAATGAGGTTTTACTACAAGCCTCTCTTCTGACAAACAGAATCTCCTTGGGGTCCTTACCATAGGTAACTCATTGTTTTCTGTTGTCAGTGGGTTTCCTCTGAGATTCTGCAATCCTGAGTCGTGCTTGGGTTTTGCCTAGCAGATATTTCTTGGAAAGTTTGACAAACTCTCCTGATGTGACTAGTTTAGAAGGAATGAACATTTTTCCATTTTTCTTTAAATTAAAATAAAATCGATTTGAATAGATATAAATATATATAAGTATGGTTAAGCCCTGAACTGCAATGAGTAAGGAAAGTTTTCTTGAATAAGATTTTAGAATATTGAAAGTTTCTTTTGTGCATCATCTTATTCCTTGAACTAAAAAATGGATTGGAGACAAAATTCCAAAAGGAGAATTTTTCACAGGAAATCTCACTTTCCTGCAGTTCTTTCAAATACTGAAGTTTGATCCGTGAAAGAAGCATGCTATTGTGAAGTTTCATCAGACTCAAGGGAAAAATCTACTTCCATCCAGCAGAGCAGAAGTAAGAAAATAACAAAATTACTCTGTCTGTCCTCATTCCTGTAAACAAATTGTGAATTTAAAAGCTACATTATGTAAATAACATCATTCTAAGGCAACGTATTTTATTCATCAAACAAACAAAGATGCCACAGCCCTAGTCAGAATAGAAAATGAAATAAGGAAAATTAAACACAAATAAACCCTCTTAACGTAACATTAAGGGCTAGATCTTGGCAAACCACCGGCACTCAGAATATATTTTGATGTTAGATGACTTTTCAGAGTGAGCCACAAAGCAACAGATCCCAGAGTTAATTACAATCTGGTTATTTTCTATTTTCAGTTGTCAGTATTGGGTGGCCCCTTTGCTGCAAAAACTTGTAGAAACCATAATGTTTCAGAACTTACATTAAACTTGTCATGTAGGCTTCATTCAGATCACACGAGGGTTTTCAGAACCCGGACACAAACACTATTAATGATTTGAGCTGTTAGAGTAATATGTTCTTCAATTTTTCTTGAAAAAAACAATCCGCCCTTTTCCAAACCTGCTTTAGTTCAGTATGTATTGAAGTCAACTTTGAAAGAAAAGGTGAGGTGTATGTGAGTCATGTCATCTTTTGGCTTTTTCTCTTGAAGAAAGTTGGCATGTTCTTATGGGGACAGGAAGAAGTGGGAATTAGAAGAAAGGATGGCTTGAGAAATGAATCAGGAACGCTGAAAAGTTTACCAAGATAGGAGGCCTGTAATTTGGTTATCTTCGAGGTGGAGTATGGTTTAGATTGGAAGATAAGCCAAGAAGGAGAGAATGAATTAGTATTGGGAGAAATCAGTGGCATCACAAGAGTTCTGCCAGAAATGTTTTGTGAAAACCATGCATGCCTGCATGAACCAAATATTGGGATAAATCAGGTCTAACATTAGCAGTGCTGACCATTAGTGGAAAAAGTGGTAAATAAGAGAGAGAAAAAATGGAGGAAAAAACCACATATGCTGGAAGAAAAAGCAAGGAGAGGGTGAGTTTAGTTTACTGAAGCTGACAGGCTAACATTCACTGAAAGGATATGGAAGGCTGACAGTGAAAGAGACTGAATCCTGTTTGGATGAATGAGTGAACTTCCTATTAAGGACAAATAGTGGTGAGAGGAATATGGAAAGGTTAGCTGATGAATCAGTGGCTGCAATACAAAGGAGAAATTAAATGGTTCTGGAGGTAAGGGAAGAGGTGAAAATATACAAGAAAGCTGAATGAAAGACATTCTTGCACTATGGCCACATCTGGGATCAGTCGCCCTGAATGGTTTCTGCTACCACTTTTACCTGAAGTGTTTGACTCATAACAACAGAGTCTCACCCTGCTTTGATTTCCTGCTGGAGTCTTGCTTGGCAACGGGAACCCTGAAAGGATGTTCAGGCAAAGATATCCAGACCTCTGTGAGAATCAGTATCTTGGGAAAATGAAATTGTGAAAGAAGAGGAAGTGAGAAAAGGGGGTTAAATTAGGGATGGGAGTGTCAAAGTTAGGGTAAAAAAAAGTGGAAAGGACTGAGATGTTGGGGTCAAGTTGAGGAAGGGAAGAGGAGCAGCTGTTGCAGTAGATTCTGTATTTGTCTTCATGTGCAAAACAGTAGAGCTGGGAGAGAAGAGGAAGGAAAAAGCCCCTTGAACTAACAGGAGCATGATAAAAGTGTGATGAATGTGGGAAGGGAGCTGTAGGATGCAAAGCACAACAAAGAGCAAATAGGACAAAATAGGATTGTGGTGAAAAGACCCTCTTTCAACACACTTATTGGAAAATGCAATTCAGAAAAACCCAAAATATACCATGAAAGCAACATGTATAGATGTACCCTATTTGGAAAATGCTGGAGGATCTTGCATCCTCTTTCTATAAGGGAGTGAAAATGTTATTGGACAACACTACAGGATCAGTGCAGGAGAAATAATTTTGGAGCTCACAGCTCTCCCACACTTAGGCTTAAAACTTCTTCCAGTTAGGTCTTCTGCTCCAGTATTTTCCTTTCTGCTGCATTATGGAGTCATGCTCCACTTTTCAGCTGTATCAGTCACATGTGTATTAAAGGTCAGCTTTCAAACATTAGTGATTCTGCAGAGAAGACCATGCTGAACTAACGGAGAATTAGGTTTTCTGCTGCATTTAGTCTTCAGCTCTGAATAATGTTTGGTCATCTTCACATTATGTTAAGTACAATGGAAGTTGAAGGCCTTCCAGGTAGTGACATCTGGTTGTGCTACTTTACAGTACAAAAATTGCCTCAGGGAACTAAGCCTCAAGTAGTTCAGCATCTGTTTCAGGTTGTTTCAAGAGATGGTATACTCCTTGTAAGCTTGCCCATGAAGAATTCCTACATGAGCTTTGATAGCAGAAACATTTTTCTGCTTTTTCTGCAGCATGCAGTTAGAAGTTTCCTTTTTTTATGAGTATTTGTTTGTGCTCTGAAATTTAGATCAATCTGAAAGTAGCTGGTAAAAAACTGAGTTAGTCAAACATCAGTAATACTGTAAATACTTGTAAGGGCAAAGGTATATTCAACAGCCCTTCACACAGTCAGGACTTTTTAGCTGGAATGGTACTGAACAGGTTTTGTCCCCATCTCTGCTTAAAACTAGAGGAAATCCAGGTCTTTTTCAGTCCATTCAGAAACTTGCCATCTGTTCTCACCCTCTGTCTTCTGATACTATTAATGTCCTTTAATTTCTCCTTCCCATAGTCAAATTCTCTGTAAAAGTTGCACAGCAGGCAATAACTCAAAGCAAAATTCTTCCTAGAAGACAAAGGACATTTGGTTTCTGAGCAAAGATGAGGTTTTCCATCTTTCACTGTGTCTTGAACCAATGACTCCTGAGCTTACACGGTTTGCATGCTCAAGATTGTTTTATTTTGACCTGAAATCTAACAAATCGGAAAGAACACCACTTAAATGGTGTTGTACCTTTTAGTGTACAAACATAAATTGTCAACTGATGGCTTCCCTAGCTCAGGCCATATTAACTGCAAAACCACAGGATGGTGCTGCTGTAGCTGGTCTGGTTTTAGTCTAGGTCAGCTCAACAAATAAGAAAGCACTTTGCCTTCCTCTCCTAAAGAGACAACAAGAAATTAATATAATAATGGCCCATCTTCGCGAACGAAGATTTGGGGAAAGGTCTTTTTACCTTTCCAGCCTGCGCAATGGATTTTTTAGGTGAGACACAGCCTGTGCTGAACTGAGCCCACCCTTTAATCCTAAGGTTCATCTGCCGGGGCCAAGTAAGCTTGGACAATGGCAGTGAGGTCCTCAGGACGTAGGTTTGTTTAGAGTGACCTTCTCATAGATGGATGGCCACACAGGGCTAACGACCTCCATCAGGCCAGGAGACCGGGGACTCGAACCGGTGGTCGCAGCAGTGAAAGTCCTGCACGC